GTGAAGGAACCGATCTACTAGAGAAAATAATAAAATGCAAAGAAAGAAAAAAAATATTGACGAAAATGTGGGGCGTAACGAAAACCGAGTGTCGTAGAGAGTAAAGTGTTGTCAATTTTCTCCTAATGATGTACTTGTACGTCGAGACAAACACTTCAAAATGGCTGCAGAAATATCCTCAAAAGTTGTAACTTGAAAGATACTTTAGGAAGTAGATGTTTATTTAATTCAAACATAATTGGTCATTATGGTACGTTATAAATGCGTCTAAACCTATTTTAAGTCACGTGATGCGAAATAAAATGAGCTGTAGCTTCTTTAAGATCCAGTACATTCACCGCTCAGATTTGCCACCAGTCTCACTGCGTGACGCTCTAAATCACTTGTATCTTCCACCGCAAGACGCTGAACAAGATGTCACTGATGCTCACAATGTACGAAACAAGGCGCATGTATATTTAAATTACGTGAAGTATTTTATGACCCATTGTATGGTCCACCCAAAAGGACAGCTAAAAGTCCCCAAGGAAACGCCCACTTAGGGCAGAATCCTTGGCAGTCAACTTTCGTGGAGTGCTAGGGATTTAGAGCGCGTCGTCGTGTAGCGCGGTCGCAGACAATGAGGCAATAAAGTGGTCGCGCGAACGGGTCTTCTTCGAGGGTTTGAGGATTCGCACTTGCGACTCCCGCAGGGCAGCGGGTCGCACGAAGGCAATAAACGCCTCCGTTTAGCGCGCCCGCCGCTCTGTGAAAGCAACCGTTCTCGTGTGACTGCACCGCGCGTTCCTGGGCGGAGAGTGGGGGGAGATTTTTTAAGGGGGGCGAATGTTTGGTACAGCTTATGATTTCTTTTTTATTCTTCTATATTGTTGGCTTACACACATTCTTCTTTACTTTTTTCTTCAACTTCGTCGACCTGTTCGTTGTGTTCTCCTTTGTCTTCTTCCCCTTCTGCGTCGTTTTTTCTTCTTCTTTGTAGTCTTTCACTTCGTAGTTTCGTGTTTCCCCAGTTTTTCTCTCCCTTCTCCATGTTTCCTCTTTTACTTATATCTTCTTCCTTTCTCCTTCTTGTTCATCTTTTCATGATGCAATATTCCTAAATTTGAAGACGTATCATAAAATCGTCACATTGATTCCCAGACAGTAACGATGTAATGGAGAATTTTTTACTAATGGAAATCACACGGCTTTACCTTGGTCTTTCATGTATGTCTTTAGTCCATTATGATATCAGTGTCTTACAGTGGATTTGAATGCATGATCCTGTTTCAAGGCTATTGCCGCTACATTGGTTTCCGCCATTTAGTTTTCCAAAATCCTTTTGAGGGTTTCAGTCACATTTGTATCATTGAATATGAAAAATGTAATCAATGTGGTAAAATTTATATTTATAGTTACGGTTTGAATTAAAATTTTTATAAATTTCTTTTTCTGAACAGATTTAAGCTGTAGAGAATTGACACGTTCGTTATCAAATTCAAATCATTGCATTATTTTCCGAAATTAACACTTTTGCATTTGTTCTGAGGAGGTCCTTTACAATCTCATGAAGGGATAGTTCAAATTCAACTTACTTTCAGAATTATTGGGTGTTTGACGTAAACAGGAATTGCAATCTTGAAAGTTTTACTGTCACGTAACACACTCGTAAGAAGGCGGCAAACCACTTAAACGACATTTCCACATTTCCCATTTAGAATAAGACGTTCTCATGCGAGGCGAGGGTGTAAAAACGATTATTCCGCAACGTGCAGGGGTTGGCGGGCGACGTAACGCGCTGTGCATCACACGCAACGGCCCGGGCGCGCGCGCGCCGCGGGTGCGTATGTGAAGCGTTGGGCAACGCGGAGGCTTTGTGCGGATGGAGCGGCCCTGGGAACAGCGATCGCGGTGCGGACGTCGCTTCCCACACTTCGGCCGCCGCCGCCGTCGCCCTGCCCCAGCCCCCTCCGCTCACGTCCCCGCCGGCCATCCGCGTCTCCGCTCCTGTCACTTCTGCCGCTACCATTGCCATCGCCGCTCTTACCTACGCCCCCGTCGCCGCCTACGCTTTCGCGGACGCCGTTTCTATATTCGCCCACTCCGTCCCGTCCCGTCCCGTCCCGTTCCGTCACGTCCCGTCACGTCCCATCACGTCACGTCCCGTCACGTCCCGTCACGTCACTTCACGTCACTTTACGTCACTTCACTGCTCACTCCTCACTACGTCACTTCAGGTCACTTCACGTCACTTCAGGTCACTTCACAGTCATCAGGTCACTTAATCACGTCACGTCCGTCCCGCCCGCCCGCCGGCCCGCCCCGCCCGCCCCGCCCGTCCGCGTCCCGTCCCGTTCTCCATCCCTTTCTTTCCTCACCCCTATTCATGTCTCGGCCCCTCGCCTCCGTCTCCGGCACCAACTCTGTGTCCGTCCCTCCCTGCCCGTCCGCTCCTCTCCTCCCTGCGTCTCTATTCCCCGCCTCCGTGCCCATAACCTACTCCGTGCCCGTCCCCGCCCCTACCTCCGCCGCCGGCTGCTCCTTGTGCCTTCGTTCCCATCTGCCCCCAAATCCACCCTCCTGCCTTCACCTGCCGCGCCTCCACTGTCGCCGCCACCGCCGCCTCCCATCCCAGCCCCCGTCCCCGCCTCTGCTCCTCCCGCGATCTCCCCATCGCCCCAGCCTCCACCAACGCCCCATCGCATTCTTGAGAAAGAACCCTTAATATCCTTTCCACGAGTTCCCTTCGGACTTTCAGCTTCCGTGAGACATTTCTTGGCCGGGTAGGAGCTGTTCCGTGACATTTAAAACTCGGTGATCATGGACGTAGTTGACGCCTGGCAAGTTCTATAAGTTCAAGGATGCTGATCACATGTTACTATGATTCATTAATTTTACTCCAGTTTTGGTGAGAGCTCTGAGAATTTATAACGGTCCAGCTATCTGGCCTTAACATTGTGACTTGCTCAACGAAGTCGCTCGGGAACTGACTTGGTTTCAAGAACTGAGATTCAGACCACCTGTTTAACGTTTCCTTGCTACTACCAATTGATGGAAAAGGATCTTGGAGTCGATCCCTCGTTCAATACTCGTCCTTCAGTAATTCAAGATGCTTTACTGTAATAGATCGTTAGAGAATTGAAAGATATTGCAAAAGTGACACACGACACTAACAATCAAACATGAATGGTCTCTTTAAACCCTAGGCATTTTGAACGCTAACCGCTACTTTTATACAAGAAGTAATAACTGCCGCTTTAAGGCAAAAATGCATAGAGGATTTCCCATGTGATTTGGAAAGTTATATTTTTGATATATAATCACTCATCATCAACCATTACCTCACATTGGCTGCAGTTTGTGCGAAGGTCGCATTGACGACACTTGAGAAGAATGATCTACGCAATGTTGGGAAAATCTGCGTTTATTAGAAAGCTGATCGTGCATTGATGGAAGCGATGTTATGCAAATTCCCGTTGCTTTCTATCACTGATATTTCCCGCTGCTCAAGGGAAAAGGATTCACTCCTACAAAGCACAGAAATATCAGGGATGCCGTCATTTGCTTAATATCAGGGATGCCATCAAAAGAATTATACTCGATTTTCTTTTAAATAGATAAGTTGTTTTGAACTGAAGTAAATATTTTTGTATTTTAATAAAAGAATTATTGAGTTCTTGAGATTGTGGACTCTTTGGGTTTAAATTATTTAATCGGCGATTAAATGATCGGTTGATTTAATCTTCCCCTATCTTGAACTAACATTCACCCTTCTTACACACACACACTTCCTGATAATTCCAAAATTAACTACAATAATTCAACAATTACAAGCACTTCAGAGATGCGTATTTTATTCACCGGATTGTACTTAAGAAACAGTAAACACTTGAATATATGTTATACACGTCGCTGTATATGGAGAAACTCCGTATGGGCAATACATTTGCCTTGCGTACATTGTCCGCCCAAAATAAAACTAGCAGCGTGCGGGGTGCGTTTGCGCCACCGCGAGGTTCCGCCAGGCGACGGCTGAGCGCGCGGGCGGCGGCGGCGGCGGCGGCGGCGGCTCGTGTCAGCCGGCGCTCACGCGCAACGACCGCTGCCGCGGGCGCGCTCTGAAGAATGCAAATGGCGGCTGGCTTGGCGCGCGGATCGGGGCCGGCGCGGAGGGCCAGCGAAAGATGACAATTGTTTGACATGACGAAACGACACTTGTTTAAAGGTTTGCGTAGATTCGTTTGCGACGTCCGGAGCAGTTTAAACGTTTACGGCTTCCAGAGGAAATGCACGTCGATTCTGTAGTGGATTTTAGACTCGGCGGTGAAACAGCTTACGAAAGTTGACTTACCCGACCACACCCATTACACAAGGTCAATTAGTAAACCATTGATCATCCAGCAATTATTGACTGATGTCAGAAAACACGCCTCTACGGTATTTCAAGGTTTGTTGGGGGACTCTGTAATTAATATCTGAAAGGGGAAGTTGCTTTGTTGTTCAAAGAGAAGGTACACTACATCATGAACTTCGGAGGTAATTCTGCATATAACTTCTTCTCTCTTCACATACTGATAGGGAAACGAGAACCTTTGAAATACAGTCACGTAGTTCGAATGATATCCAGTATTAAATTTAAACTAATTTGTTTTATTGTACTTGTCACAACGCAACAATAAGCAGCAAAGCTATTTGTTCGGAATTTTCTTCCAATCGTTCGTTATATACTTACCGGTTTGTATTGTATATAGTGAATTTAATGGAAGTACTTGCGCTATATTGTGGTACATATTCAGTGTGTGCAGAGAGAGTAATAGACTACCGCGCTAGTTTCTCACGCTCGCCTGTTCACCTCGCCCTATTGCAACTATTGTTTATGACTGGGGTATTGTTAGTTAACATTTATTACGTTCATTATTGTTTTATTCTAGGCTGGGGAAAGTTTCTTTGCTGTTCGACAAAAAGAAAAGAAAAATAGAGCTCGCGTCAGAATATGCTCGATAGAGTAAGTAGAAACTCTGTTATCCAATCCTGATAAATAAGGACAAGAAAATATAGATATGCACAATATAATTTTTATATGGAGTATACTCACTAGTTATACACGAGAAAACCTCTATGTGGTCGTTGTGGTGGTAGTCGGTCGGTATTTGTGTGTGAAAATACCGTGAGAATAGGATGACTTCAATCTACGAGAGTGATAATGGTCCAGCAACGTTTGAGCGTACAACGGACATTTAATGTTTTTATATATTTGTTGCCAGAGAAGATTTTCGCATGTGGCAACAGTGCACGTGTGTAGGCGCATTGCTACGAAATAGTTTTGTGCAGATATGAATCTTGTATTATCGACTTTTCGCAGAGACGTTTCAGTGAGATTTATAAATTCCAAAAACTAAATGCACGGTCGTGTAAGTTTAATCTACGTTCTAAGAAAACTTCAATCCTAAATGAACACCATAAAGGCATTTTTGTCAGCGTATCCGAAAAACTGAGGTGGTTTCATGACGTAAATATTACGTGAAAAAACGAGGGAATAATGAGGCGATGAGGGAACGATGTCCGCGAGACTAAAGAAAAACCCAAGAAGGCTCCTGCAGCTCTTCATTGAAGAGTAAATGCAGTCAAACCGACGTAAGTTTTCTGAGGTGTAATGTTTCGAACAAAAAATCGAATATTTCTAGCAGTAATTGTTATCTATTTTTATTTAAATTTTTGGCATATTGCATGTCAAGATAAATTGTATATTGTGTGCAATTTGCCTATGCAAATGTGAAGTATGTTAAAATATTTTACTTATTATTTAAGAGCGTTTTCACCTCGTCTTTCACTTTCATTCAGCATTATGTTTCGTAAGTGGAACACTATTTGAATATCTGACACATGCGGATCAATAGAAGAGCTCATATGAAGCACATGTCATGCACACATTCTGTACGATAGCGTTCAATCAGTTTCATCCCCTTGGAAAACACAGTAAGTGCCGCTCGTAATCGTTCGATCGCTCGTATAAATTGCCAAATCCAAACAAAGGCCGCGAAGCCGGGAATGCGGGACGGAAGTAGGTCTAGAGCAGAAAAGGTGTTGTACGTGCAGAGCTCTCCGTCCGTCAGTTCGCGGGCGCGCGCGTTGTGCGTGGGGTTTCAATCGCGTCTCGTGTGACGCAAGGCGCGACCCGACCCGCCCGCTCTGCGCCGTTCGCAGCTGCCCTACTTGGGGGGACACGCAGCAGAAGAAAGCGTTTCTGCGCACGCGCGGGCCCCCGGGCGCAGCACCTCCCTGGCGCGCGCCGCGCCGCGCCGGCGAAAGTGAGAGCACCTCGAGGACGCACGCGGTTCGCTGGGATTCCGCCAGAATGCGCGCACGTCGCTGGCGAAGCACGTAGTTCGCCCAGGTGCCACATGGAAGCGCCAGCTGTCATTGTCCCATTTGAAATGTGTAGTCTAAATAAAATTGTTCAGCTTAGCAACAGAAAAAATCCTTAGTGACCTTATAATGTGTTTACAAAAGTTTTATTTTTTTTAAATAAATAGAAATTGTGTATAAGGATCACGGGAGGGAGTATCACAATCATTTCCTCGATGAACCAAAGGGAACTAAATGAAATAAACTGAACGATCAGTAACTGATTGATATTACATTTGTGCTCTATAAACAACGATTTAAATCGCTGGGATAAAGTAGCACTATAACTATAATTTTATTACAAACAATAGACGAATATTAATTATAATTGTACATACGGTTCGCGGTTCAACAATTTTTGAACTGCAATTATTGTAATGACGATTTGACGCAACCAGTAATTGCAAATGGAAAATTATTTAACGTTCAGATATAGAAAAAAACGGTTGTCATACCATTACCTCTTCTACTGATCCTAAGAAACGAGGTATCAACAATTCTCATTTTTATTCATAGTTTCTTCAATATTGACGCAGATTAGTAGAGTGAAGGCTTTTCTCAAGGATCAGAATGCGTTGCCACTACTGCTTTGCAAATCACCTCCTTTCACAGCCGTTTTCATTATCCAGTACGCAACATTCACTTAGTACTTTAGCATTGTGCTACATAATTCCCAATTAATATTTCATAATATGATTAAGATGCCATTACCTTTACAGAATAACCATATAAGGAAATAATTCCCATATAGAATTATTTATCAGTTAAAACTATTAGCTCTGCAGATTTTTAAAACAAGTTTATGGGATAAACCTATACAATAACCGGAATGCAATTTACTATTTGTAATATTTCATTGTCAAAATTACTTGAACTCTTGCGATCAAATCGAACTAAAGGAAGATCTTTAGAAAAGTTAGGAACGTTTTAGATATTAACCATATTAAAAATCGAAAACGCATTCATTGTATTAGTTTTAAAATATTATTAAAAAGTAGCGTTTATTCTACAAAAGCGTTTAATAACAGCAAGTGAAAACACATTTAGGGCATACTACCTTTCGTTTCAAGCAAAAATAACGAATACTGTTTGACTACGAAGCTCTAACTTCCTTCTGGATGAAAACTTTTCTGGATGGGCGTTTAAAAAAAATTGCGATGCAAATAGTTTCCATTGCACGTGCACGAAATTTTAATTGTAAAAAACTGTGCCAACTGCTATATTTTATTCATATTTCAATTGCTATCTTTTATTCATATTTCATTTTTCATGTTTGTATTTCGAAATAGTGGAGAAAGAGAGTGCGGAAGGAATGTCCTCAAGAAAACATGCGCCAATGAGCCGATGGAATGCTTCATTTAATAATCACCTATTTTAACTATACAATTTTTCATGAATTTTCGATTTTTGTTTTTCCTACAGACATTTGTTCTTTTATTATTGATCAGTTTCTCCCTCCCAGGGAGATGATAACTTTACAGATCTGAATCTCACTAGTCGTGTACAGACAGGGGCGTCCAGAGAAAACCAGGGGCCTAGGACAGTTGTTCCATGGGGACCCCATATAAAAAAATATTAAAAAATTCTCCCTCCTCCCCAATTCTTAACCCGAGTTAATTTCTCCAAGCATCAAAAATAACTTATAGTGTTAAATTTGGATTAAAGACATATATTTTTAATTTATTTTGAATGAAAAAAAATCCGTCCCCTCAATTAAACGTGGGGTTCTGGAGCAAGTTGCGCCAGCTCCCCTCCCCCTGTCTGGACGCCCCTGAGTATAGACTGAAGATGCCATATTCAACCAACATGTCTTGGCCAAGGCCTTGTCTTTTTAATCGTCATTGAGATATTTAAAATAAATCATATTTAATGTTGTCTACTATTTTACTATGACTGTTCCACTCCTGAAATTAAAACCAATAGTATTTCACTATACATACACCGCCCGGATTGGGACATTTTGTATCTCAAAAAATTCATCCCGTTTTTCGATCCGATTTTTCTTACCGCTTCTCCCTTCTGGCTAATCTTAAATTGTCATGTACCTTAGGACGAGTAATACATCGATCGCTACGTCGATGTGCAATAAACAGCATATTTACTGTAAAATACCCTCTGATTTTAACATACACTTTCAGTAATTTTTAATATTTGGCACACTTTGGGACTTTGTTGGACATAATTTCACTCGTGGAATGGTCCTATTAAATACTACTCATTTGGAAATTCTGAGATAAACTCTACAATTTCCAAAGCACCCGTGGTATTACCTATGATGATTTATCTTGCGTGTTACTTTTTTTACCTTTCCAATTCTTGCTTCTTTGGCTTGTGAAGTGTGTGTGGGGGGAGGGGGGAGGGTCGCTCACCTGTTGATCTGCTTGAGGATGGGCACGGGCGTGGGGCGCGGCGCGTTGGCCGCGGACGAGAAGGACGTGCGCAGGGGCTGCGGGGGCGGCGCGGGCCGCGAGTACGAGCGCTGCGGCGCGGGCCGGGGCGCAGGCGCGGGAGCGGCCCCCTGCTCGTAGTCGTAGTCGTTGTCCACGTAGTTGCCGCTGCTGTACTGCTGCGCCAGCGCCCCCGACGCCACCAGCGCTAGCAGCGCTATCTGTGAACACGACAAGGAACTACGTTCAACGCTCGTTTTCTTACGATGTGGTTTTGGGGCACGTTCTAAATGAGGCGATTGCTGTCAAAACCAGCTCGTTCCATTTGCGACAGTTTTGGAAGAGAGATTAAAAACGTCCGTCCATGGGCAGCGTGATATGAACGGTATGTTTTCGCTTCATTTTAAGCGGGATTTTTAATGATATATCTTGAGAATTTGAAAGACTTCTTGATCTCCACAAAACTGAATTTTCCCCTAATTAATGGAATGAGCTGGTTTTAATAGTAACTGCAAAAATGATAGACACTTTTAACAAGGAAGAGAATATGATACAGTACATGTGATTCACTAATGTGGGGAATCAGAATTTGTTAAAAACGACAAAATATTCCCCGCCAAAAGATGCAATTAAACAGTCATTAATAACACTTATATTTTACATTTGGAGCAACCAAGGCACATTAATTATTGAGAAATAAAGAAGATATCAATGAATGTAAAATTACTGAATATCCCCCACATTAGGTCATAGGAGCTCTGTGAGGTACGGACAATTACTATACGAGATGAACAAAACCACTGTGAAGCCCCTCTCAGAGCAATTTTGTTCTTTTTCGCATCGCTGAAACGGCGCGCGTAATTAAATCTCCATCTAAGCCAACTCCTGAGAGCGATCTACCGAAATACTATGCAGTTTCCTTCAAATGAAATGTATGCTTCTTCCTTCCCTCCACTGAGATACCATCCCTCACAGCAAACCATTTTATTTAGTTGCTCAAACACATCCATAGATTAACAAATTATTAAAAATTTACATCTCTCAAAAATTTATATTTTTTGTTGTAAAGGCCAAATAAGACAGTTTATTTAAAACATTCAGAATTAATCATATTTTATTACAAATATTACATATTATTGGCGTATAGGCCATTACTGACCACGGTACACGATTAACGTGTGTAATTCTTCCAGGATCAGCTTTTCAGCTGTATCCTTGGATTACAACAAGGTTGTTACGCCTTGAAGTGTGAATTATGAGATAATAGGATGATCATGATGATAGGTGAAGGGAGAATCACAAATACGACCATGTCTACGCAGGACTCGAACCTGCAGCGTCCTCGGCACAGACGACGGCGGCCGCCGCGTATATATTTATACACAAAACATATTCGTGTCGACATCCATAGATTGCCGACTCGGGCTCCAGGCACATCCTGCCGGCCACAGAGTACCTGGCCTGCAAAACCCGCGTAGGCAGACGGCGCCGTGCGATGGAGTATCGCTGGGGGTTCTTTGCGCGGCGAGCGCGGGCGAGGCCCGTCGCCGGCGGGGGCCGCGCCTTCGATCCCCGCCCGAGATACCGCGCGCGCCTTCCGGGACGTGGCGCAAGGCCAGCCGCCGCCGCCCCGCGCGCTAACGAGACGGCTTCGCGGCTGCAGCAGCGAGGAGGCCGTCGACGAAGGCGCGGAGCCTCCGCAGAATGCGCACCTTCGTCGTTAATGTTTATGCCGTACGCTTGCGTCAGAGGAGGGAGATCTCAGAAGCCTGGTTTCCTACGTTAACGAGCACAAACACGTCGTCTGAACACTGCGTCTAGGTATAGCTAGTGACGGCCCGGTTGCTGTTCTAACATCCAAAGAACTCACAAAAAATATTCGTGTCGACATCCATAGACTGCCGACTCGGGCTCCAAGCACATAGTACTGGTCACAGAGAACCGCGGTTGCTGTTCTAACATCCAAAAGACAACCGAGAATACTGATCCGAAGACGTATCTCTGTCTCTATCAATAAGCTGGCAGGAAAACGAAATTTTACGGTAGAGTAACGTACATTGTGATTGTTTCAACTAATCATTTAGAGCGAATATCCAGAAAAGATATTTATTTTGTGTCAATCAATTTTCTCGTACATCATCGTACGTTTCTTAGTGTGAATAATTTGTATTGACTTATCTAGTTAGAGTGTACGATTTTACGAAATTTACATTATGATGGTAAATATGCATGCGCCCATTACTTAACAAGCTTAAAGATTTTTCCTCATTCGATTATGCAAATATTGAGAACAGAGTTACCGACCTAGTTCCATTTAACACCATGCTACGCAGGGTCAGGCCGCCCGCAAGCGACGACTTGGTGCGGTTCGCGGCTGCCCGGCAGCAGACGAAACTGTTGGTAATACGTGGGCCTGTCGGTCAATGAAGAATAGTACTCCTGCCTACGAACTATCTTATTTACCAGTCTAGTATATGCGGGCGCGGAGAGGGAGGTAACTGTCTCCTTCCCTTTCTCTTCGCGATAAGAAGTTCGAAAATACCTGACAGGTGCAATACTGATATTGGCATTAGTTTGCCCCTATGAAGTCCAGACGTATGCCTGTGAAGGATGTTAAAAATAACGAAACACGGACCATACGCAATCATTCTCTTTCTATCCTATCCCCGCTTTTATTCCCACACCCCGACATTGGACTGGTACTCCGTTCTCAAACGGTCCATCCTCATTGATCGAAATAATATCCAAAAGTACTCTGAATCCTGAGATTCGGGGATAGGTTCTGCGACCTCGCTCAAAAACAGTTACATGGCATCACAGAGGGTGCCGAAGTAACATCATTGTAAATTATACTACTGATATTATCTATAAAAATGTGATCACAATATGTATTCACTATCAATCTTTCATCAAATTATTTTACATATGTATTTACGCGCTGGTTTCTGAAATTCTGAAGGTTTCCGAAATTAGAATTCCATCTATTTATGACTCACGTTTTACGACTTACTCTATAGAATCGCTGAGGTTTGCAAACATCGCTCATATTGTAAATGTGCATCAAATGTGCAAATGTGCTCTCATTTTCATTATGGAGGCATTTACGTTCTGAGAAGCTAGTTTCGTGGCTTAGGAAATGGAATCCATTCTGCAGATGAATGCATTTATTCGAGACACGAATGCATTATATCATTTAATTATATGTGCGGTTAGTGTGTTCATGTTTAAAATGCTAATACTCTGATACCCAGATCTCACTGATACTAATAATTCTTAAACGGATCATTAATTTTTACTTTGGTATTCCTAGTTAACAGAGGCGGGTACCAATTGAATACTTTATTAAACTTAAAAAAATCGCTATGTGTCATCACTAGATTTAATTTTAGATAAAAATCTTATGAAATATGCAAATCTTGTTGATGGCCTGTTAAATTCCGTAGGGTACATTAAAAAAAAAAATTGAAAACAGAATGTTGACTTTAAATAAGTGATTATATTTATCGAGTGCTTTCGTAATTAAAAGCAAGTATAGATTCATTTTCACAAGAATTTTGGAAGGATTTTAACCCCTTGATACTCTTAAGAGTTGTTCGAAGTCGACATTTTCATTTTTAAAAATGGTTCTATTTCACTAAAAACTATCTATCGTTGTTGACCGCAATACCTTTCTTTAATGCGGAAGAGAGTATCAACCATGACCTCAAAACCATTCGATGACGAAACAACTGTGCACTTGTCGCACTGGTGGTAATCGATCCAGAATCGATATACACTCTCATTCTGCGAAACAGGTTTGAAGTAGCGCGATGCTTTGCAGAAAGTGAAAGTTCATTGACGACATTCCATTACACGCACATGTATTATTCTACCAACCATAACAATCGAAACCTCGTGCTAAAATATATTTTTATAATACGCCTATGCGGTTTTCAGTTGCCAGAAGAGTCGAAAAAAATTAATCAATGTGTTTTCACATTAAAATAGAAGTGCACAGCTTGAAGCTTGAAATTCTCAGCGTGTTCGTTTGCTCACCAGACCTTGCTACGCAACCTGCGTGAAGGCGTGGAGCTTGGGCGGGGCCCCGTAGCCTGCGTTGCGACGTGTCACGTGACGGCGAGGCCCTCTCGAGAAAGAAAGAAAAAAGAACATTTTGAACCGCGCACGTGCGGACGCTGTGGGCGAGATCGCCTCAGGCGCTGCTTCTGGATTTCTTCACGAAACTCACTCGAGGCTCTCACTTCGCGTTGCAGAGAGAGGAGCAGAACGTTTCAAAAACGCCCAACGAGCTTTGCATGTCACTCTAGTGTGAAACTTGAGTAATGTTAGAGAATTGATATCTTCGATTCAATCAGGACTTCCTGATCAGTTATCCTCAGTATTTAAGTACTGTGAAAATGGGGTAAAAACGTCCTAAGTGTGCATGTGAGGTTTAGTTGTGAAGTAATAGTATAACAAAAGAACATATCCACGAATAATGAGTGTAACTTATAATATTTTCAATAAAAACGAAATTAGCGAGTACTTATGTAAAGTCGGCGCAGTGTTTAGTGTGTTAATTGCTGAATCAGTGCTCGAAGTGTCTCATATCTTAACTCATGGATCATGTACGCTATTTTTTTAGCGCGTTGAATGATCACTGAAAAATCGTAAAAATTAAAAACTATAATAATAATAATAATAATAATAATAATAATAATAATAAAAAAACAATGTTACAGAAGCTGTTAGTTCAAACGGATAGATAAATATTTTTCATTTGGATTCAAAAAGCCCTTAGTTTGGCGAAGAGTTTAATACAAAATATAGTTTTCTGAAGCACTTAACTTAAAATAAAAGGAAAGACTAGGGGGATCTGCCTTCAATTAGATGAGAAAATGGATGATTGACCCCAACCATCCCCGAGGAGAAACATGATTTCCCCAGTCGTGAAGGGGACCTGCCTCCCCTCTCCTCCGCCAACGCTCTCCTCACGCCTCCACAGGAAGAGCGCTTCGAGCGAAAGCCGCCACGAGCAACAAGGTGAAAGAGAAGAAGCGAGAGAGAGAGCGGAGATGCGCCGCAGACATTACAAAATTACATAACGCCGGCCGTGACCGTGATCTCCGCACCTGACTCACTCCACACCGCTAGAGCATCCTCCAACAGTTTGTTGACGCCGCAGCGGCAATCCCTAAACTTCACCCACGCGTTTCCATGAGGATATGACGCTGTTGTGCCCGCGCGAGTAGCTGAAGTGACGACTTGCTCATCGCTTCGGGAATTACGTCGCAGTTACGACGTCACCACCATATGCAGGTGTGTTGTGTTGAAGAGTGACGTCATCATGACCAGGCTAAAAAATGTCTTAAACGAGCGTGCGTTTCTGTTTGAAGAACTTTCCTGAGAGGTGCGAGTTTTCGCGTTGTCACTTCAACGTGCAGACTTTCCAGCTTCGTTTTATTATTATTATTATTATTATTATTATTATTATTATTATTATTATTATTATTATTATTATTTGCTTTATTTACAAGATGGTGCTTGGGTATTTCAAAGTGCGTTGACAAGGCATCATTTGCCTGCACTGAGATTTGCAAGTTAATGGAGGTTTGTTGGAAATAGTCAGCTCGAAGGTTATGGGAAAGTCTAAGCGGTGAATGCAAATACCATAGGGTGTGCGTTGTATTTGCGTAATGAACACGTAACGCGCCCGAAAGAGGCTACACCTTGGCCGTGAACGTGGGAACATCCGCGTGGGTTTGCCGTGCGCTCTCAGCGACACGCTAGCAAATTGTGGCTACGAAGCGGTTGATATAGGTTTCAAAGTTCAAGGATTTTATTTTGAACTACGCATGTGAATAAGGACTCTACAATGTTGTAGGGCTTTGTGTGTCTCAATTTCTTATAAATATAGATATGCAAGTTTATTTGATATATTGTATCTTTTTCACAATTTTTAGGTGTTACTTTTAGTAGTTGTCTATTGATAATTCGTTGCACAAAATTATTTTTATTATACTAAGTGACGAAATAGAGAGAGATGTAACATATAAGATTTGTTGAAAGTGAAAAAGTATTCATTTCATTAAATTTGATAAATTCGTTGAAGTAAACTAAATAATATGTAATACACGGAGTGTCGAGGGAGGAAACGACGAAACTTCGAAAATAGGCTTTAAGACTATTTTAAGTATATTTTGTTTAAAACGCCTTGGATTTTCCGAACGACTGAGCAGAAGTATGCATTCAAAAGTTGATTTGAAAACATACTTTCAATGCAAAAATTTGCATTTTAGTAACATACAAACACTCCAGAAACATGTAAATTGATTATTTTTTACAAAAGGAATTAGTTTATTTGTTCACAAAGAAAAATTAACACAAATAAAAAAGCTCGGAATGTATACAATTCAACTGCATTTTTAAATTCTGTTTAATTTTTCTTCTACTTCTGGCTGCCACATTTTTCTCTATTGTGTCTTTTATAAATTGATTAAAACGGGGCACATCGAGCTCGGTACCTTCATTGCTGTTGTCATTCTCTAAAACTGTTTTCATTTTAATGCACGAGAAAAAGTTATGACTTCAAACATCGGATATATGGGGGCAGTACGGTAAATCACCTATTTGTAACCTGAATATAAATACTTCGTAATAGTGCAATGAGGCATGCACTAGACCTATGATGTCTGTAAAGAAGGCGTCTCCTATGTAGTTCACTTTCTACGCCACATCCTGCTCCCTGATCACGAACGTGAAAATTAATCTTTCCGCTCCGCGCTCCCCAGCCATTCCGTTGCGAGGTAAAGGCGTGGTCGGCCGGCGTTGGTGGTGGTGACCGCTAGGCGTCGCGAGCGGGAAGGTCAGGTCACGTGGCGTCGCTCGCCGGCCGCCCCGCCCGCGGCGCCCCACCCACTGCCTGCGCTTTGTGCGCGATCTTTGCCCTGCACTCTCCTTGGTAATAAAAATAAGAAAGGAATGCCAATGAAATTTATATACGTGTGAAACCTACTTCAGCGTAGAAAAACACACTTGAAGATGAAAAGTTCATGCATTTTGTCTATCGATTCGGTAATGGCTCTACGTGTTGTCGTTTTGGTGAAATAGATATTGTCTTTCTGTTGAAAATGAGGTACAATTCGTGAAATTAGCAGGTAATACGAAAGTTACAGTGTTGTGCGGTGCAGTATTAAGTCTGTTAGGGAACAATTTCATTCTAGGTTCACTCATTTTTAAATTTACAATACACGTATGTAAGCCATTCATGTATTATATCATTATATCGTATCATTATATACCATATCTCTATTAATGTGGCTATTATTACTTCAGACTTTCCGTATAGTATTTTTAATTTTAATCTTTTAATATTAACTGTTACCATGCCGATTCCAATTGGGTATCAAATAAAAATGTCTATATCTTCTCAGAAACGTTTTTAATATGTTTGAGAGTGTAACTGACAACACGTTATATCTAAATCGAATTGAGTTGTGTTGTATTGTTGCATTCGTTATAAAAAGTCTGTGATCGGTTGACTACATTGATGTTATTACTTCACCTCCTTTCATTAAATAACAAGAAATGCCAACATTAAATTCATATTATTGCATTAAATATCATTAAATGCTTCCCTCTTGCCCTTGTTTAGAAAGAAAACTCGGGAAAAAGAGAAGTCGGGTCCCTAGATGACTGAGTATCGAATCTATGTAATAAATTTTCAGAAAATGAAATGAAGGGTCGTAAAATGAATTTTTTAATTACTAATCAAATTAACCGATTCATTAGCCTTTATACTATTTTTTTACAGGGAGTCATCGCCCTCTCAGAATTCGCGGTGTGTTATTTAGAATTCTCATTTGTTACTAGTCATTTTGACTTCGTCAGTTGTAGAGTTCAATATAACTTTGTACCCATCCAATAGTCGTGTGTAATTTATTGATTATTAAAGGTTTCAAGGACAGTGCTTTTATATCCATTCTAGTGTTATATAAGTACGATTTGCGATATTGAATGTAAAGAGTAATTTCTTCTCTTGTGTAGAAATAAATATGAGGTTATTGGCCTTCCACTGGACCTTACAACATTGGGGTAAAGGCAAACATGAAGGACTGGTCCATGGACCGTTAACTTGGCAAGTCTCCAGCATGTGAGGGCTCTGCTTATGAGCAATTAGCTAGTCTTCATGATTGCCATGGGCACGATTAGAAACGCAGTGGAGAACGGATAACAGTGTCACGTTTCATCTACACCCGGCGCTCTCCCCGTCTTTCAAGCGTTATAGGAAGAACCCCTCCAGCGCTATTCGCCGTCCGGTTGCCCGGTCGCCCTTCGCGTGTGCGGCGTCAAGCCGGATGCGACGGCCACGAAGGCGGCATCGCCTGCAGGCACAGGTTGACTCCACACCCGTCCGTTGTGTTCGCCGCCCGCTTCCCACCACTGCCCGCTACCACACACTACCTCCACCCACCACCACCCTCCACTGTCCATCTCTGCCCACCTCTGCTCTCCTCTGTCCAGCTATGCCCACCACTGCCCATCACTGCCCACTACAGCCCACCACTGCCCACTGTTGCCCATCACTGGCTGCCTCTGCTCACAAATGCCCGCTACCACACTGCCACCACCCACCATCACCCTCCAATGCCCACTTCTACCCTCCTCTGCCCAGCTCTGCCCACCAGTGCCCATCACTGCCCACCACTGTCCACCATTGCTTACCACTGCCCACCACTACCCTCCATTGTCTAGCAGTGCCCACCATTGCCCGCCACTGTACGCCAATACCCGCCACTGATCATCACGGCCCGTCACTGCCCGTCACTGCCTGTCACTGCCTGTCGCCTTTGCCGATCACCTAGAGACCAAAGACGACCGCCGCCGTCATCTCCGTCACCGCCACCGCCAATATTACCATCGGCTTCTCCGTCATCACCATCCCCGACGCCGCCGCCGCCGCCGCGGCGGCCGCCGTCATGTAATTGGGTCGTCAAGGCCTGCGAGTCTCGGAGCCAGTAAAAGCGATCGGCCGAGAGGGAGACTGCCGCTGCCGCTGCTGGAATGTTCCGTTAGAACCCGCTGCCCCACCGCGCACTGCCCGGCCGGCGCCGCGCCCCAGTTGCTAACCTGTTATCTCGTCCGAATCCCATCGCCTTCGTGGACGGAAAGTGAGGAAACGGCCGCGCCGCACGATCTGACCCTCCCGTGCATTGTTCTTTCGAGATCGGTAAACGACGGGCTATCGGCCAACGAAAGGAAAGTCGGAGAAGGGTAGGGCTCCCATACGCGACGGAGGAACCTACAATCAAACCCATGTGATGAAATTGGGGCTCATTGGTCCGCTCTAATCCCCTAGAACGCGCAGAGTTTGTAATATAGGATTCGGAGACACTCATTGTTTATTGTACGTTATGTATTGTTTTTGTACTTCCGGAAAAACGTTTTTTCTTTGCAATGAACACTTCTTCAACAGCAAGATGTAATTAACAATTTTAATAAGGCATATCTTAATAATATTTAATTCTACACTAGTACGTCCGAGTAAGAGGAGATAGTTCAATAATAAAATAAAACTTGAAAATGTGTAAAATCAAACGCGATTTATGAATTATATGCTTATTTTTTAAATATGTCTATAATATACAAGAATATAAAGGATAAAAGGAACGATATTCTTTAGAAACTGTAGCCATGTGAATGCGATTTGAAGACCCGCTTTCATACTCAACATTATTCCCCATATAAATCGTGTATCAGAGGATAAATTAAAGGACTAAGATTAATTAATTACTTAACTGTAATAAACATAAGTTATAACTTCCTCGTGACACACACAACTAAGGAAGGAAGACAATCTGATGACACGCACGCACATGTGCCTTAATAACCGGCCAGAAGTAGCCAGCAATTCCTCGACATTCCGAGGTCTCCCACACAATACATCGAAAGAGAAACCGGACAGGAAGCACCTCTATTGAAAGGGAAAGCAAATAGCTCCCAACTCAAATCTAACCCGTAATCTCACGCACAGTGCTCTTAAGGAAGTGCAGAGGATGTTATCGCACTCGCCAGCGTGCTTGAGCGGCCAGGGTTGCGTTGAGTCCAGTAATTATGTAGGACGGGTTGCTCACTTTACCTGTGCTGGTATTTCTGGGGCAACCGGTTACTTTTACTTCAACGTGGCGTGGAACAGATGCGTAAATGCACATGAGACTGGTTCTTTTACTTTCGAGCTTAGTTAAACACTGAACTAGAGAGAAAGGTCACTTTCGTTTTTTGTTCTTGCAGAACTAATAATGAGCACATGAAATACATTTAAATAAGTACTGAAAATTGAAGAAAATATGAAATATGATTTTAAAATTGAAAGTATTTTACACAGTTCACCTTATATGAAACATTAATCAATTTCTTCACACAACTTTATTAATGGAAGACCACCAAATGCACTGTGCTGTTTACGCATTGTACTGTTTACCAGAGAATTTCTAGTTTAACTACTAACGATCTGATTCTTTCTGGTACTTCAATCAATGAAAACCTCAAATTAATACTATATTTTATTCATTTAGTTTAAATAAGTGAATGAGTACTATAGAAATTAGAACGTAGTACAACTTCTAAATTTAAGTTTCACTGTAAGATTAGAGATATTTATATTTCATCAATTCTCTAGTGTTATAAAATTTAAAATTTAGATCAATAATAACGGATATTTTCTATTTCATCATTAGGTAACGTCATATGAGATAGTAAAAGGTTATTAGAATCGCCACACTTGTTTACTTGAGCTATTCACTTATCTGCAGGTGGAGATTTTAACGCGCGAAGTATCGACGAACCTTATCGCCTGCGCCTCCATTTTGGCACCAAACCCGGCCCCGCGGGGGACGCCCCGGACGACTTAAAGCTCATCACACCGGCGCTGCCTGCTGGTACGTACCGTCCTGCCGATGGCCATGCCGCGTTCGTTGCTCTGGTTGCTGCTGGTGTGGCGCTGCTGCTGCTGGCCGACTTAATCCTCACAGACCCGTATGGCAAAGACTGGGCCGGTCCCGGGGGCCGCCTCCATGTTTTATATGGAGCATGCCGGGAAAGCGGCGATAGAAAATAAATGTCAGGCGCGGGGAGCCACGCACCCGCGGGGGAGGGGCGGCGCGGGGGGCGCGCGGGGAGGGGCGCGCAAGGTCCGTCGGCGGCGGTGGTGGCCGCGGCCGCGCTGGCGCCGGGGAGCGAGTGGGGGTGGGGGTGGGGGCGCGGGCAGGAGGAGAACAGAGGGGGGCGTGAGCCCACCGCCGCCGCCGCTGTCGGAGCTCCTCCGCGGCGCGCGGGCCGCTGGACGTCCCGGTTGACCTTTGCCTTCTGGATTCCTCCGCCGCGGTGGCCTGCCATCCTGTCCTTCCACAAGTGTTTTTTTTTTGTGCATTACGAACCCCCATTTCTCAGAACGAAGTGATAACATTATTACGCTGTGATAGTTTTTTATGATTGACCTTTTGGTGAGGTGGAATTCAGTATTATATCATGGTTTAGAGGCGCTTCTTTTACGATTATTAACTTTTGTAGTTATAATTGTGTTTATAAACATCATAAATTGAATTCGCATTTCATTCAAGATTTTCAAAATATAATACTTTTAGTGAATCAATTTTTTTTTAAATTCCAGCTATATTTAATTTTTTCAATGCATTTTAAATTCTATAATAGTTGTTTGAATTTTTAAATGATACTCTATTATTAATTAATCAGTTCATTAATTAATATAGTAATCTTTTTTTGTTTCTAATTCGGATTCAGAGTGTCGAAATATACAGAGAAAAATTTGTCAAAAAAAGAGTCTGACTACAACTCCGAAAACAAAAAATACAATATCACGATGGTTTTTGTTTCGGATTTACATTGGGAGCGTCGAAATTCATTGAAAAAACATGTGTCAAGTCTTTGTGTCTGATAACGTTTGTGTGTGTGTGCCTTGTAATCTATTCCTAAAAATGGAGAAACTGGATTATTTGTTCATTTTAAAATTTCACCAGATATTCTCTCATTATCATCGAAATGCATACTACTTTTTATAAAATATTCTATTAATAAATACATAATTTTTCGTTGGTTGAGATTTTTTCCCTTTCAGGAGATAATATGTTTGGAAGGAAACTGCTTGTTAATCATTCTAAGTTACTAACTGGTAATAGTTATACTGAGAATTTGTTCTCCTGAAATAAAGTGTATTGTTAGAATTTTTCTTTGATGTAAAGTAAACTCACTTCCGCTCGCACAAAAAGCACGCACACAGATGAATGTAATATTTGATTGCATGCATAATTTAATTTAAATTGTCATCTGTCAAGTAACTTTTGCTTTATCAAATGCAATTCAAAGAAAAAATATTTTTGTCTTTCATACATTTTCTCATTGAACGCAAATCTCGTTTTTTGTAGTGAACATTTTACAAATAAAATAGACACTCTCCAGATATTTCTCTACTGTAGTTTAACTTTCTTTAAAATAGAAAGTAACATCAACACGCATTGTAAAGAAAGGCCTTTTTCTTTGTTGCGTAAGTCAGATTACGTGAATTGGATTTTCTCTTCTGGTAACACGTGGTCCATTGTGTGAAATGCGTAGGAGTTAGAGATCACAAGGTCATTTGGTAAGTGTGCACTCATTCGGAACGCTTAGACTGTTCATTTACACTATTTGAGGACAGCTTCAAAGTGGCTGAGTAGTTGCTGTAGATACGATATTTAATGTCGATACCCGCTACAAAACAAAATGTCAATATAGATATTTCAAGATAGAAGATCTATATTTCTTATGTATATTGCTATCAGTTAACTGATGAAAGAATATGTTTTGAGATTATGTGCAAAATTTATATTGTAGACTTGATAACGTTATAAAAATACTGATACATTACATTCATCGGTTAATTCCATTTAATTGCTCGATTTTCATTCTATTTAATATTACGCGCTCTTACTCATGGTCAATTGAGAGAACCATGCGTGCTACAAGCTGGTGTCTTTAGGATCATACAGAACAGGCAATTTCACAAGATCTCATTAAAAGTCACGAGCAAAGCCTACCGTAAATGAAGTTGCAATAATACCCGTAATATTTTTGGCAAAATAACTCGTTGTTTCTATATTTTAAACATTACTTTTTTCGTTTTTCATTTTAATGATTAATCGAATTGTAGGTCAGATACTATAGTTTATTTGGTGACAAATTACGTTGAACAATTTAAATTAGAGTAAGTCGATAGTATGTAAATGTATTTTTTTATTGTTACATGATGAAATAAAGCAATTTTGAGATCTGTAAAATGTACTGCAGATGCTATGTGAAAAAACACAGTTCAAAAGCTATTGTATATGCAAACCCCTTTTGCAATTAACTTAAGATATAGGTGAGGTCAAAGAAATACAAAAAATTGGGTATGTTAGGACAATCCTAACTTGAAATACTTGAGGATAAATTCATGGTAGTGATGTGATGAACTAATTTTTTTTCTTATTATAAAGGTGAAGGAGAGAACTTTTTCCCTCATTTATACTGCAATTAATACGTAAAAAAATACACTGCAGTTTGTGAAAATTGCAACACCCAGAAGGAATCGTCAGTATCACCTAGAAATCTCCAGATATGTAGAAAAGTGATTCCATAAGAAGCAATTAAATTTACATAGAGTTGGTGTGCACATTGGCGTAGCAGCGCCCTCCATTGTGTGACAGGTCAGGAAAGAGTTATACCACACTCAGTCGGTGTAGATCCGTCAAACGACGTGGAAACGTGCAAATGCCGTATGTCGTGATGACGCCAAATCAGCATTTGAGTCAATTCGAGTAGATAAAGGTTACATATAGCGACGAGTGGGTAATGGTAAACACAATATTACTACCGTGCGAGATGACCACCATCTTGCCCGCATAGCCATATCCAACAGGACGGCGTCGTCCACAGTGTTGGCTCGTCTTTGGAGCATTGCAACGGGTGTGGTCATGTCTTCGTTGACGGTTCGACGCCATCTGTTGAGGGCTGGACTTGTGGCGTGCATTCCACTGCGTCGGATTCCGTCGAATTCCGTTGGGATCAGCAATGAGTACGTGAACGTGTTCACTGGTGTGTTGAGTGGCAAAATGCAGTATTTTCGGACAAGCCCCTCTTCAATTTGTGCTACAGCTATGGCCGCGTACGTGTTTGACGCTACCGTGGTGTTGGCAATCTGCCTGTTTGCATTGTTCCGGGCTCTAGCGGACAAACGCTAAGTGTGATGGTTTGGGGCACCATTTACTACAATGTGCAATCTAGCCACAATTGTACTGAGTGCAATCTGGACAGCGACCGCTACATTAGGAAGGTTTTAGAGAACGAAGTACTCCCCCTCCTGCAAGCAGCTCCACATGTCATTTTTCAGCAGGACAATGCCCGACCGTTTGTGGCGAGGAATATGCAAGCTTTCTTTTGCCTGATGTGTCGCCAATCGCACATATCTGTGATATGATCGGTCCGCAAATTATTCGATTTGGTCCTTCTGCAGCCACTGTCAATGCTTTGTGATCATATATAGATACAGCATGACAGTGTGTTCATCAGCAGCATATCCAGGCGTTTTTCGAATCTAAGACCCACGACGTCTAGGGGCTGTGATAGCAGTGCGTGGCTGCTTCACATCGTACAAAGTACTTAAAGTCGATATGCAGGTACAGTTATGTAATTATAATCATTTGTATATTGTGATATTTCTAACCTAATTGTGGAATACATTTCATTGTAATAGAAAGCCTCCTTCTGAGTGTTGCAAGTTTTACAAACATCAATGTATGATATAATTCATTTATGAGGATTTTCATTGCTGAGTTGATATTATTCTTGTTTATATTATGTAAATCAGAAAGGAAACTGCATAAAATAAGAAATTTGTCATTGTTTATTCGTAAGAGTTAATTACAGTACTATATACATGTTCGAGCTCTCTTTTACGGTATATACTATATCTCCGCGTTTATTTGATATGCCTGTATTTATCTAATGTTTATAATATAAGAAGTCAATATAAAAAACCACAGAATCTATTACCATTAAGTATTATTTATTTGCTAACTCAATGCTCATATATTGAATTGCTATGACTTCCTTTATCGATGCGACTATAAATAAATGAAAAAATTGGCCAGTTGTTTTTGAGATTCAGGTTCCATTGTTACTGATGTTGAGCCGGTTATCCTCTGCATTTCAACACGGTGCTAATTGAACCGTACATTACATTCTGCCACACTTGTAACCACGGACTGTTTAGGCGGGTGCGCCACGACTGTTCTGGCTTGACGGGGACAAGCATAGCCTCGGGTGTGGGTGTTTGCTTGTGGCGGTGGCATGGTGAAACTTTCTTCCAACGACCATGTATGTCCTTCCAACCTTCATTCTTCCATTCCTCGTACCATCTTGCGCCCAAAGACGGGTTACCTCCACTCAAATCCCAGGTAAAGAATGGAAGTAGTGAGTTGCGATAGGCTACCCCACCCAATATTTTTCAACTTTCAAATCTCCTTTCCAGCTTCTTGGATAGCTCATGGGTAACGTACGCCTCGTGGTGAGTTGATAGGGAAATAGAGTTGTGGCTTTCCTTTATAATCGTCCCAGTTTCTGTTGATGTGTTGACGAAAACGCTCATGCAGGACTATCATGCTAGTTACGGTGAAGGGAATAAATCGTGTTTGCCATATGTCGCTCTCACCCCCAAGAACGGGAATTTAACTAACCCCAGGCTTGTGGGAGAGCTTTGAACGGCCAGCAAAGTCGGGCTTTCGACCCAAAATGACTAATACACACACATAAATAACCTTTCTGCCCATTCTAGACCTAGGTATTCTTCTCCAGAATATACTATACGCAGCTGAGATGGGACTTCGGAATACCTCCGAAAAAAGTTTAATCGTAGAGCTGAAATGAATGTACTGGCAACTTTGGGTTCACGAGGAAGGGAAGCTTCCCATATCGGTATCGTAAATAGGAATTCGAGAATAACAGAAGATTTAAGGAAGCTGGGATGGATGGATAGACGAAAGAACCCAACGATTATGAAGCAGTGTAACCAATCGAGGGTTTCTGGTT